TGGGTCTTTCTTCCAAACTAGCAACGGGTTTCCCAGTGAGAGGCTGAGCATGAGCTTTCTATGATGGCCGGCATTAAATGTATGAAATTGGGAGTGGAACCAGTAACCAGACCGGGTTCTTTATAGATCGAATTACTTGCGTAGCTTCTGAGTTGATAATAATGCAAGGAATTGCCTAATGTGCCCACCTCCACATTTCAAGCCCCAAAAAAGCAGGCACGACCAATCTACTGCGTCGCTGGCAGAATTGTCTCAAAATCTGGGCATGGATGGACTAAGAAGGGAGCAAGTAGAGTTTGTGTTATGATTTCTTGTCTTAAAAGATAATACAGAAGCATCATTGAGCCTAGTACTGTACATGATGAAGAATCACTGTGCTAAGTACTACCCTGTTCCTTACCATGCGGGGCCCTTCCCTAACACCCAATACTAAACCTGTGAAGTTATCCTTCGATCTCTTTACATACTTCCCGCATAAAGATAGACAAACGCACTGCATCTTGCTTATCATTACAAAGCACATCCTCCACAGGCTGGGTCTTAATAAATGGTATTTCTCTTTGCTGGGGCTTTCATGATCATTATACCAAAACCTGCAGTGTGAAGGGAACGTATCTTCCTGTGAACTGAAGACTCCGCCTCATTAGTCACTAGCATACAAGCAGAAACTCCAAATAATGCGGACAGGCAATTCTTCTCGTGGCCTGAGCAGCCCAAGCTCTCTGAGCGATATTGATTCAGCCAATGGCTCTCCTGATACCAAGCTCACCGTCTACTCGCCGGAGGAAACGATCTCTAGAGGCCGTCTGGACACTCATGTTATAGACACACTCAGCGATGCCGGGGTCCGTAGGCTCTGCTCTGCGTGAGTATATGAGATCTGACGCATAAAAAATTTCTCTAACCACTCTAGTACCTCTCCTGATCCATTCTTTGTGTCAACAGCGGCAACTCGTGTCCAGCTTTCACCGACAGCCGCGACATTTACCCCAGTAGGGATGTTAGATAGCGCAAATATGGAGACTCAAGGCCGACCCGGCCCACAGAACTTCTCTCGGGTCGAATTCCTAGCAATGCACCCAGATCCCAAGCGCATTGAAAGAAGCCCAGGGCTCATAAAACGCATGGAAAGAGATATCTCGAGCTACGGCGCTATCGGTAGCACACAGTCGAACAGAATTAAGAAGTTGTTTGGTGCAGAGCCAGATGAGCTTGACAACGAAGGTCACAGTCGAGCACTGGTAATAGAGAATGTGCCCAACAATCTGACATACATGTCCTTAGCTGGATTTTTCAATGTGAGTCCCAGAGTCCAATATACTTGACATCACCCGATGAGAGTGATGAGCATATACTGACCAGAGATAGCGTCGCGAGTTTGGTTCTCTCAGAGGTCCTGTTCTTTCAGAACTCAACTCGAGTGGCAAAGTCTATGTTGCATTCACAGATAGTCGTGAGGTTACAAAGGCGATTGAAAAGGTCAACCTGCTTAGACCCGAATGGCGAGCTTTCCCCATTACTGCTAAGGAGTACGTGCGACACGCGGAGCCAGCTCTTCTATCTCAGGCATCTGATTATGAAGGCCAACTTCTGGTGACCGTCTACTTCGACGGCCGTAATCCAAATCTTAACCAGCATACCGTGGCCCGCTCCTTGGAAACTCTTGCTATGACCTTCGGCGACATAAAGTCCTTTACAGATGTACCAACGGGACAAGACAATATTGGCGAGTTCCATCTCGAGTTCTTCAATACTCGCGACGCCGAGAATGTGACAACCACTTTGAATGGAACTCTGGTTGACGTATGTTTGCTTTCTCATGCGATACCCTTGGCTATTACTAAAATTTAGACGAAAGGACTGCATTATCGAGATCAAACAATTCAAACCCGATCTGAAGAAGAAAGCATGCAGGTTCACCCCGGCCAGTCCTACTCCCGCGAAGGAGCGGCTCACTGGAACAGAAGGTCATTTCAACACACATCCCTCTTGGACTCCGACTCAGTCATGTCGCACTCCTTACATGGAGCTCAGCCCAACAGGTCGCTCGACAGTACCTCCAGGTGAACACACTAGTCTTATGAATTGGATGTCCAGGGCTGGTGAAAGAGTCATGCCTTCCCCGCGGCGTGATCTGAACCGTTACCCTGATCCCCGTATGGGAAGCCAAAACTCTGTTGACATTGAACGAATTCGCCTCGGATTGGATGTCAGGACCACAGTGGGTCCCGTCAGTCATTTTTCCAAATAGCCCTGATGCTAATAGGCGTGTCTATCACAGATAATGCTTCGCAACATTCCCAACAAGATTGACCAGGTAAAGTCACGGCTTTTATACTTATTTCTTGAATTCTAATTTGAAAAGACCATGCTCAAGGCCATTGTCGATGAGACAAGCCATGGAAAATATGACTTCATGTATCTGCGCATTGGTGAGATACCATGAGACACCCTTACCAAACCATTGTGGCTAATCATTAATACTACTTGTAGACTTTGCGAATAACTGCAAGTATGTCAATGATGCCATCACAGGCCTAGAGCTCTCGTTGCTAATATTCCCAAGTGTTGGCTATGCTTTTATCAACTTTGAAGATGTAAGTCTCTCAAAACATCTGGTGTGTGTGGCCTTATGTAAAAAGTTCCGCATTTGACGCAGTCCAGCCGATCGATATTATTGATGTCAGTACATATACGAGGCAGTACATCCTAGCATACCACTAAGAATATTTAGTTCGTCAATGCACGGGCTGGAAGAACATGGTATGACGGGGATATCGATTCAACATGCTCCCGCTGACAAATTGAGTAAGGAACTGCTTCAACAGTGATAAAGTTGCAGAAGTCTCATATGCCAGTGAGTCAGCGAAGGTCTTCGTTCGAGGAAGAGATGGTTGTCTGACTTAAGTGAAAGCTATTCAGGGCAAAGACTGCCTGGTACAAAAGTTTCGAAACAGCTCTGTTATGTTGGAACACCCTTCGTTCCGCCCAAAGGTTTGTATATGTGTTCCTTGATTCAAGCCCGTGGACGGCATAAGAGGCTTATTGTCCAATGCAGATTTTCCACACTGGTACTGGACATCTCGCTGGCACCGAGGATCGCTTCCCTGGACCAGACAATCCCTCAAAGATGCGTCGTAGCATCGAAAATGCCGAGCATGTAGGTCAGTACATAGCGAGCTAGCGCTGAGATCCAAGTTCATGCCTGACTATTCAGGTCTTTTTGCCCCTCGAGTCGGCCAACAGTACCGCGACGAGCAGCGTCGACGCCGTTCGCAGTTTGACCGCGGGACCACGGCTGCTGAACGTGAAATTGTATTAGTTAGGACGCTTGCTCCGAAGCGCACATATGGTGCCTCAAATGGTCTCAGAAGTGCGCCGTGTACCTACCCCGGACTGAAATCGTGGTGCGACTCGCCAGTGCCTGAAAATACCCCAAAGACTTCCTGATTCCTTTTCAAAGCATCGGCCTGCGGCTCACAAATTCATATCCGGTGATAAAATCAGAATAATTCAGAGAAGGTTAATGACCGGAAGTGACATTGGGGAGAGCAAATGCCCGGGGAGTCACAGTTATTCCCTTCGTCAAGTTCCAGCTACAGCACAGCAACGATATTTGTCCCGAGTACAGCGCAGAGGTTTTATTTTGATTTGGGGCAAAGAGGGATTGAAGCCATATGGAGTATCCTACCACGCCCTGGTCGGCTTGGAAGCATTGCCTGAGTTTGAGTCGAGTTGTTGGGGTGCCATTCTCTGTGGGATTCTGGCGTCCTTCCCAGGTGTTTCTTCTGATACCGTTCGATAAGAGATCTAATTGTAATACAAGATAAGGGTGGCTGGTTTCCCCCCTCCCTCACCGGCTACTCCAGTGCATTATGATTTACTCCTAGAGTGAAGAAAGTGAAGACTATTCGACAGCAACAACTGCTTTTGCTTGGCGCAGGGCTCTGATGTCCCTATGCAGGTTCAGCCAGGGTTGCGACACATGATGCTTGATTATATTGAATAGCACCTACGTGATTAAGCTTTGTCTCTGTGGCTAGAACACATATTGATGATAAAGGCATTGTTGTTCGATGTCCAGATCTTATAATCCTTCCTAGTGCTAACGTATCTGTTATGCGAATGGAACATGCGAGCCGGTGGAACAGCTATATGTATTTCGTTTCATATAAAATAAGCCTTCCTTAGACTCCTTTTGCTTAACAAGGGAGTGGAATACTATGCCTATAATTCTGTATACTCTTCTTCAGTGAAGGTAGTCTTCACTCCTAGATTCAGAAGGGCTGTTCTCTAATTCAAGCCTGTGACTTTAAACTTATATTTGATATATTTGGGCAGGGTGTGCTAGCCATCTTTGCTTGATTATATGTGTTCTTAGAGAAGATTTGGTCTATTGGTTTAGAGTTTTGTATATCCTCTGGAGTGTAGGTTATACCAGTAAGATCATAGGATTGGTTAACATATTATAGTCTTAAAAAGAGAGCTTTTATGTTGAAATCGACAGGATCTGGAATTCTATGGAGAGTGAATCATCCGCTGCATTGATGTCCGACAATCTTTAGTCGAATAACCGGTAAGATGCTCCGACAAGAATGCAGGTGGTCCCACCCGCTTGCATCTTACTTTGGCTTGCCTGTTACATTTATCCGCTTACTTAGTTGAGTTAATCCTGCCGGTACAAGTAGCTGATTTTCGAACACTAGCTATGCACATCTTATATGGCCTGGACCCGAAAGTCGTGTCTACCTGACTGTTATTGAGAGCTATTTGAACCCCTTGGCCTGCGCTTTGCGCACCTTGTAAATTGATAGAAACCTCTGCTACTATTAAGACATATACGCTGAACATTCTCACCTGTTAAGCGGTACTTGAGTCAAGGCGGTGTCAGATGTGGCAGTTCCGAACCAAACAGCGGGGTTCCGCCTTTATCGCAAAGTTACTTCAACCCAGGAGGAAACACCCATTGCGCCGACTCGTGCTGCACACCGAATCATCCACATGGCAGAGTTCTGTGTATACTCAATACTCTTGAGAAGTGCTTTATCCTTTTGATTTTGAGCATTCCACCTATTTTCAGCCAGGCCTCGTTGCCTATCACATTGACGTGGCGTATATCCCCCCAAACCGCGCAGCGAGCCGCAGGAGATGGACCTGGAAAAGTTGTTTGCTATACATTCGATTCTTCACCTCATATATCACCGCAACAAGAACCAGCACGGCAATACTAAGTGGTGGAAGTGGCTGGCGATCCTGAAGCGAACAACCCGGAAACTCGTCATGTCTATCGGGCATCGGCCATCATACATCGCAGGTCAATCTTCAGCCCCAAAGTACACAAAACCCCTGGCGCACACTATTATTCCCAGATGTTACCTGTGAGTCGAAATCCAGAATGGCTAAAGGGTCTACACGTATGGAAATATGCGCTGATCCCTTCGTATAGTGTCTTCTCAACGGTTGTGGCCGACGGGCAGTTCTCCACACTTGGGACAGTACTTTTAGCCACGCTGGCCCGCCTTGCCAAGGCAATTGGGTTCCGGAAGGAGCTCAAGATCCCTGCTACGACGGTGGTTACCTCTGCCCTCGACAGCAGCAGCGAAATCACCAAAGAGGAAGATGTAGGGACAGTCGTTTCACGGGGCAGACCCAATCCAGTCATCCCATTACCGCCAGACCATTGTGACCTGGATGATTTGGGTCGCATGGCGTACCAGAAAAGTACAGGTAGCCTACCAAGGGGTTCAGGACGCTGCGAAGAGACGAAGATGGAGGAGCGGATCCAGAAGAAGAAAAAGAAGAACAGGAGAAAGGATGCCATCGACGATTTGTTCGACTCTTTGCTGTAGGTGAGCTGGATCTGCACACTGTCGAAGTGCCTTCCAGAAGAATCAACAGAAAGAGTCTTCGATCTGTCTCCGTCAGCGAGACACCCGGTGGGTTCGCATTCTCCGCAACCCGCGCCTATTTCATGCATATTATGAAAACTCCCCAAGTAAATTGACACCGAGATGGCCCATGACAGCCCATGCCATCATATAAAGATATTTAGGGGAGAAGACTGTCCAAATGAAAAGATGCGCCCTCAATGTCATACAAGCAACCATGACACACAGCGATGATGTTGCTATATGGAACGTGAGAGTAGTCATATGAGCCTCTTTCTCCTTCCAGGTCTGTCTATACCGCAGGTGTCGAGCAGCCGAGGCCCACCATATTGGCCCAGCCCAGTTGCCAACAAAAGTCAGCAGACCTACAAAGAAAACACTGTAATGGTCAATACCATTGTAGGCATTTGAAAGGTCGACGGAAGATATGGCATTCGAACCACCGGATGCGAAGAAAGTCATGTATTGCATCAGGAGGGATGTGATCGTTAATTCAATGCCAGAGAGGTTCATTGAAGCAAATGTGACTGCTTGCAACCTGAAAATTAAGAACAGTGGAATATTCGTGGTCCGAGACTGTGTGATCAATAAAAGAGTGAGGGCTTCGTGCATAACGCTCGTGTGCATTCCTAGCTTGCGTTAGTAAATTCTTGAGGTAAGTAGGGCAATGGCGACAGGTTTACCTGACATAAATGGTTCCTTTTTCCAAGTTTTTTTCCTGTTGTATATTGTGACCAGGATAAGGAGGAGCAATCCTACGAAGACGATTCGTGAAAGGAGAATAAGCGGGACTCTGTTGAAGGCCCTTTTTAAAGTTCCTATGTGAGTGGTCCCAAGTAGCTCAGGGAAATCCGAGACCACAGATCCGAGCTTGAAAAGAAAAGCTGTTGCTGTCACAGCAATGCATATTAGGCGCCACAGCTTGGATGAGTGATAACTGTGAGAGAGGTGCACACATATATCCGCATATGTGACAATCACTAATGGCCAGAGAATGTATAGATTGGTGGGGAAAAAATTGTGTGCAATGTCTGGCTCGGCTGCGAATTTCTGACCTGTTTGGTTCCAGCGTCTAAGAATCCGGTGAGTTGCGAACAGTGCCAACGTAGCGTAATGGGCAAGTATCGAGCTTGAGAATGGACCATTGCTGATGGGAAGTTGCTCGGAAGAGGCGCAAGACCTCCGCGAAGCAGCTTTAACATGTAGAAGGAATGTCCAGGCTGAAAAGGTCCAATTCCAGAATTGATGTTCTTCCTCGACATAGCTGCTTGCAAACATCATACCACCATAACACACAATGAGACCAGCCAAGAATGCCCCAGAATGCATCGATATAGACAGCTGCTTATAAGCATTCGGAAGAAGCAGCAAGACGGCGAGAGCCATAGCACCAATGCCTAGGAGGAGCTGTCTGAGGTTGTAATCACTAGCAGCATTGGTTAATACTTCTTGAGCTGATGATAGAAATCGGCTGAGAGCAGGCTCAAGCTCGTCTTGGTCCTCAGAACTGATGGGGTTCTTGATAAGAGTCATCACTTGAAGCCAAGCGCATTGGGCTTCGTGCATACTGGTTAGCGGCTCAGTAGTACATCTGCCCGGGAGTTGATCGGCCGCGATCTTGTGATCTGGGAAAGAATGTTCCAGCCTCCTCAGCAGTTGCTTGGCGTTTGCGAGCAAAACTTTGGTCCTTTGAGAATCTGGACAGAGGTTCTCTGTAAGCTGTTGATACATATACGAAGAGTGCAGTTAGCCCCCTACTCACATAAATGCCACACATCCAGAAGGTCCGGAATAAACACGCCCAGATTGTTTAACGGGATGGGGAAACCAAGAAGCCCTGCCAGGGTTGGAACGATATCTGTTTGGTCGACGGTTTTGTAGCATTGAAAGTCATCGGGAATGTCTATCGGAGCTTGATGGCGGGCCCCTCCCATAGTCTTGAACAATGGCGATATGAATAGAAGTGCCGGTGACGTCTCACCGGAAGATGAGCCACCATGATTCCCGGCATCATTCATTCCATGATCACCACACAATACCAAGAGGGTTGATTGAAGGTGTCCTCCTCGCTCGATGCTAGCATATAACTCGCCTATCACCGAGTCCATTTCACGCTGCTTTTTGAACATATGTGAACTAAACAGAGATTAGACATCAACCAAGCAAGAAGAGACGATAAGAATTACCTCCGAGGGCCCAGTTTATGCCCAATATGGTCGAGGCCCAGGAAATGCATGATGAAGGCAGACCAGTCGTCTTGAAGCAGCTCATTGGGTACATGCCGAGTGACATTATGGTCAACCTCAGTGAAATCCTGCAGCGGGGTTTTAACTTGGTATCGAAGACACGCCAGAAAGATAGTCGATTGTCTACTTACTGAGACATAGAAGCTAGTAGTGCCATCTGCACGGTCAAACATGCCAGGAAATAGCTTGAGCCAGGTGTCATCACCATACATCACGAGGCGGTCACCTCTTGCCCTCAATTGGGCAAGCCAAGTATCTTGAAATGCTAGTGTCGTTGACGTATCTGACTCCGCGATATTGAATATAACGTCTAGAAATGACGGAGTAGACCCTGTAGTCATAGCTTTGAGACGGGGCATGGTGACGGTGGGAGAACTGGCGTGGGCGGTAAATGGAAGCGCAGCTCCTGACCGAATGAGACTGTTCATCTGTATTTTAGACAGTAACTCAACAAGGAAGACAAATGAAACACAACTGCTGACCTCTGTGTGAACGCAAATCCCGATGCGTTCGAATACACAAAATCACTACATCGCGGCTCAGCTTAACATCTAGGGACGGCCTGAACAACCATACCTTCGCAAAGCATCGACCACCATGAAGATAACCTTGTCAAAGGGGGGCTTGACATTTTGCTCTGAATCTTCGCATTCTGCAAGCCCTGAAACCAGTGGCTTGTATGGGAAAAATCCGGAAGAGAAGATTGCGATAGCTAGGGGTATCAGTACATTGGCGATCAGTATCGCCGAAACTCCTGACACAGCAGCCATCCTCACTCCAGTTGCAAATCCAGACGCACCGGGACCGGGCAATGATTGAGCCAGGCACAAGACCTGTCGCGTCGCGATTTGGATTTGCTGAAAGGAAGGTACCGCGATGTTTGTGACCAAGTAGCCTCCATGTCATTCCTCGCGGAAGTGCTTGAGTAGCTGATGCGTATGTATAGCACTGAGTCCGGCTGACCGCCTTTGAGATCCACCCAGACTTGAAATGCTCTTTGCAGACCATGGTGAAGTAGGTTCCACAAATTCCTTGCTGATGAGACTTCAAATGGCTCTGGAAGAAAATACTACGTGACTCTATGGGAAATCGAAGGCTCACGGTTTACACCATGCATATTCGCTAGGAGAGAGGCTTAGGCAAAATATGTACTATGTGCTGCTGTGTTTGCATCAATCTATCGTGCTTGATTGCAGCCGTCCTTCAACCATGACATGTCTGCAAAGGTAATTGACAAGACGACTTGTGGGATAAAGCCAGATATATGTGAACTCCAGAACTCCAGGATATAGAGAATTGAGTAATGCGCAATGCAAGGTCCTTTATTTCTTTCTAGACATTCTCTTGGCCTTCGAAGGATGGGGACGAAAAACGATAGATGAGCGGTTTTTCTTATTCTTCTGGATGCGTCCTGACTTTTTCGAACGACCGTGAGTATCACGTGGTTTCTGGTCGATGTCCATATCTGCATCCGTGATAAGCTTGTAAGAATTGAACAAGAAGATAGAGTAACAGAAGCGCCAAAGAAGAGAACCATACCTTCATGAGAATCTGCTACTCTCGCCTTTGGATCACTAGGCTGGCCATCTGTAGTTCTGTCAATCGATGCCGCGAATAAGGTTCGGCCGAGTATCCTTGTAGTGAGGGGACATACCAGATCTTGTTGAATCCATTTCCATTTTGGAGTTGCCTTCAGTTGGTTTCGGCTGAGCAGCGAGTTCCTGCAGCTTTGCTGAGAGTCTCTCGGTTCTTGCATCAACAGCAGGCCCGAAGACAGTAGCTCGCAGATTGGCTCTGTTGCGCTTGATGACACTGGCTCGACCGCTCTTGGCCATGCTGGCAAGGGAGAAATCTTTGATATACAAGAGAAAGAGGTAAATTCAAGAGAGGCAAAGTATAATCGCCTTGAAATATGACCTGGCAGAAATGGGTGTTGCGAAATTTTCGTAGGTTTGTTTGTTAAAGTCTTCTCTATCTTATCGCCTCGGGGGAAACTTTTTTTCTTTCATTCCTTCCCATATCCTTACTCAAAAGGGTTAAAACCAGAGCGGCGGCCGATCTTATGTCATCACGTTGCTCGGAGGCTCTTCACAACTCCGCAATCGCCATTACAAGTTCTGGAGATACAAATGAGTGCTCCAAGAATTCGACGCATATCGCCTACAGTATTCCCAATGCTTACTCTGCTGATCACCGAAGCCTTGTTCTAGCAATATATGGTCCTACTCGAGCCAGTATTGCGATGTCTTTGAACAGTGTTGCTCAGGATCCCGCAATCATATCCAATTATACCTCTTCCTGAGACGGCAGTTGAATGCATTTACCATAATATTGAAGAAGCTTGGCTGAAACTCAACATGGCATCTACTGGTCCATTCTACGACGTTCAGAGCACGGTCGCATTAGTGAAAACCCTGACCAATGCGCAGTTGAAGGACATCTTGAGGAATGAGGGACTTGCGGTTTCTGGAGTCAAGGCGTCGTTACAGATTCGGATCCTAGATTGTTCGTGGTATCCCCGTGCCTGTAATCATTGCTTGATCTCAAGTTTCTTATGAAATGAACGCCATTGATCGAAATCTTGTTAATTCTTCTTGAGAAATACCAGATATTGATAGACTCAGAGAAGGAGGTCATATCGAGAAGTATGATATCATGAGGAAGTTCATATATCATACAGCGCACCGGTCGATACCATCGCCTACAATACCGCAGCCATCGTCCAACCAGCAATATCAGCAGCCTTCAGTTAGTCAGTCTCTGGCCACGCAGCATAGACCATCACCTTTGAGCATGGCAGTGCCATCGCATGCTATCACCCCAGGTATTTGAAGCTTGATGCTTCGACCCTTTAGACTTTTAAGAGCTTGAATAACCCGCCATTATTGAATAGGCCGTTTGACCTTCAAAGACAGTCCTTTCTATACGGTTCTGGACCAACTGACTCCGACGGCGGAATGCAAAGGTAAGTTTCGTCATCCATCACAAAGGGCAGTCAATGACCTTAGATATCATCAAGTACGCGAGCACACTCGGGACAGCGTGGAGCTGAAAGTTGCTTTTACGCCTAGCATGGCATCCAAATTGCAGGCTGACCCGAACCTTCGGGTGATGGTGTTTTGTGCGGCAGACACGGGTCTCAATCAATATACCAAGTCGGATATAGCATTTCCTCATCAAGTTGAACTCAAGACAAATCTCGACGAAGTCAAAGCGAACCTGCGAGGTCTAAAGAACAAGCCTGGTACGACAAGACCGGCGGACATTACCAATTATGTTCGCAAGAAAGCAGGGTATCAAAACACTGTTGTCTTAACATTTGCCCTCACCCAAAAAGTAAGCATGCAGGCCGGAGTCATACACTTCTGTATCGATTTTTGTCCGTGGTTTAGATCCAATCACCTTAATTTGCTGATTTGTTGGTAGAGATTCTTTGTTTTGGTCAACCTTGTTCAGAGACACCCAGTTGATGAACTTGTTACCGAGCTCAAGAGAAGAAAAACCATCTCGAAAGAGCAAGTCCTGCGAGAAAGTATGCATTCTTGTGCACCTCAAAATTTACTCAAGAGACCTAAGCTAAGCAATTTTAGTGAGGAGCAAGGCAGAGGACACTGAAATTTTCGCCACTTCAAGTGTTATGTCACTCAAGTGTCCTTTGTCGCATACTAGGATTGCGGTTCCCTGCCGCTCTATAATCTGCACCCATAATCAGTGCTTCGATGCATCATCATTCCTACAACTACAGGAACAAGCCCCGCAGTGGTTGTGTCCTGTGTGTTCTAAAGCGACTAGCTTCGAGTCCTTGCAAATAGACCAGTAAGTGCAAATATTAAACATTTTGCGCGCGGTGAATACATGAAAAGAGAACTAAATATGTGTCTAACCAGGTATGTGGATGATATCCTCCGTCTGACCCCGTCGGACATTGAACAGGTGATCATTGAGCCAGACGGGAAATGGTCTCATCCTAATCTCGAAGACATTGAGAAAGCTGGGAAAGCTACATCAGCAGCAGAAGATGATGAGTTGATAGAGATCAAGGAACCTGGGATATCACCCATAAAACAAGAGAGTTTCTCTGCTGTTAATTTGACCCTGCAGCAGACTCCACTCCAGTCACGCGAACCCTCTGCAACCTCGTCTGCAGTTCCATCGTCTATAAACAAGCGTCCTGCAGCCCAAGTGATTGACCTTACTGGCAGCGACGATGACGATGATGGCGAAGATGATCTACCTGTCAGACCGACCAAACGGCCCGCGCTGGGTGAAGGGGGAAGGAGTTCACTTCGTCAAGAATATCATGACTCGTACACTAGTAGTCTCGCAGGGGAAACGAGCCTTACTTTATCTGCCCGGCTCAGCCCTGGATACTCAGGTCAGGCAGGCGACTTTCAATCATCAAATTATTGAAGCATCCATGCAAGGTGTCACGGCGCTTTCGGAATTCGGAAACCGGCTATCATTATTATACCTGGGATTGGTGGGACTGGGACCAGACGTATTGCTCACCTCTTCATGTTGAAAGCAAAGGAATTTTTTCTTAAATGAAATGGAAACAAACCCAAAGTGAAATGAATACATGAATAATAAATCTTGAACATGGTGCGCTGTACAATCGGCTGCACTGCGATATACTCCACATCGAAGCTTGGCGTTGTAGGTGTACAGTACGTACTGTACAGTATATTACATTAATATGATTCAACTAGACTGTTCATTGATGTACTTACAGTACTATATAGATACATGCAGTGTCCGGGACTTCAGGAAAACCATTGCATGACTAATATTTGGGCAATTTCTCAACTTATTAGTTGTACGTTGGCGAAATAGTTGCGAGGGCCGTCCTTTTCTGTTGTATGTACTTGCCTGGGCACAAAAAGTGGTAAGGTCATGGAGTAACTTGTCTCTGGTTAACTTAACTGAGCTTAGTTACTCACTAAACAAAGTATTACTGATTGACCACTTCTTTGAAAGTCGAAACTCTCCTCACCCGTGACCTGTGCGGGCGGGAGGCACCCTATCTCTCTCAGCTCTGTATACTCAAGCCACCTCTCAGAGATTATCCATTCGCCTACTTCTTTCTCCGAATTGTTTTCTCTCACCCCTTTCCCCCCAAAAAAGCCGACCACTGGGTACTATGTCAGTGGAACCGCCCGCCCTCCTCGCCAACCATGCCTCCGAATCGCATTTGCGCCTTCTCGGCGCCTCGTGCCTGGACTTCCTCTTAATTGAGCTCGTCCCTATGGCCGAGCGCTTAACAAGAGAGCTCACACCGGATGAGAGTACACCGGATGATGAAGAAATCAGAGAAACAACCTTTTTTCGGCTCGAGTCTCTCGGTTACAGAGTAGGGCAGGGCCTTGCTGAACGGTACGCCTCATGAATACCACCGATGAAGGAATATCTTCGTAAAGGGGCGAGCAGGGAGGACATGGCGAGTTGCGGTTCTAGATTGTCTGCTAATACGCGTCTATTCGGCTTGACTCGATGAGCAGATTTGCTCGAGACCGTCCACGTTTTGTGGACAACTTGGATGTGATCAAGTTTCTCTGCAAAGACATTTGGACAATTCTCTTCAAGAAACAAGTCGATAATCTGAAAACCAATCATCGGGTAGGCACTGAACACAAAGGATCGCCGCGAGATGGGCAGTACTAATAATAGGTCTTCAGGGCGTATATGTCTTAACTGACAATTCATTCCGGCCGTTCGCTAGGATGAGCACATCTGTCCGAAGTGAATCGGTGTCCATGGCTCAAGCGGTATAGTCATGCAACCCCTCTCTGCCATTCACCTTGGAAATGTACACTGATTTTGTGTGGCATTCGGCAGTATCTATGGTTCCCGTGCGGTGTCATACGCGGTGCGCTCTCCAACCTGGGCATTTCGACCACTGTCCAAGCAGAGACTGCTGAGCTTCCAGGAGCTACGTTCCAGATCAAAACAGTCAATCCGAAGTCTTGAACGGACAGTCCAACACATCCAACACCTCCGATAGTGTAAGCGTGAAGCACCTACGTAATAGGTCCTATAAGGCTGGATACTGCCACAGCTCATTGCGACCATTAACCTACAGATCAACCGACTACCGCATGCTACCAAAGTGAAAGCTGAGGCACAGATATACATGATGCTTAATTGTATGATGCACATTTCTCGTACCCCAAAGTCATGCTACTAGTTTGAACAGCTTCCACGACTGCTGTGTCAATTTGTCCTCTACTTCTTCCTTCAGAGCCTATCTTCAAGGAATGACAACGATCAGCGATACTCTATCCATTACCTTGTCCGTGAACGACGAGCGAATCAACCGAGAGGTGCCTCTCAGGGAGAAGACAAGTGTACGGTATCAACAAAACATCGACTAGCGGATGGAAAACTTGTAAATGATGCGCGGGGATGGACAAATTTACTTTGGTGGAGGATTCTTGATGAAGTCGATGCCTTTTTCGATGTTGCCTTTCAGACCCTTGTTGCAAGCCTCAAGAAGCTTCTTCTCCTGGTCGGTGATTCCATCCAAGACATTAAAAGCCTCCTCTGCTCCATTCGCCTGTTTTCGCAGCGTTAGAACCGACCACTATGTGGCTTGCAATCAGGGACTGAACTCACCCCAAGAGCCACAAGAGTAGAGAAAAACTCGACGCCCGTAGCCTTGACAAGCTCGTCACCGCCGGCAACTCCAGGCAAATACACAAATGTGGGCTCGACAATGCCTGTCTGGCCCTGGGAAGCCTTTATCACACTCTCGGCAAATCTAAGACGCAACAAGATGAGCTTGGGCTATGACATTGTAGGGATGAAACGGAGTCAGACCTGAAACCAGCAAAAGCCATAGAGAGAGTCGCAGATCCAGCGCCATCCTTAGCCTTGACAACCTCATCCCCACCAAATTGAACACCTAGGCTAGCATAAGCGCACATACTCGGAGCATATGGTGACCGAGGCGGGAATGACTCACGATTAACCAAGGCATCATACTTGTCTGATGGGATCTGGAAGGCGGGCGTAGCCTTGCTGAACAGAGGGACAATGGTTTCACCAGAGTGGCCACCCACAACTGGGATCTTGGTAGCAGATGGGTTCTTCTGGCGCGAAAATTCTTGGGTAAAAGTCTCCGCGCGTACAACATCCAGGGTAGTCACACCGAAGAGGCGCTTGGGGTCAAAGACGCCAGCGGCCTTGAGTACCTCTGCGGCAATGGGAACCGTTGAGTTGACGGGGTTAGAGATGATCAGAATGAACGCCTTGGGGGAAAACTCGGCAATGCCCTTGACAAGGTCGCGCACAATACCAGCGTTAATCTTAAAAAGATCATCCCGGGTCATTCCAGGCTTGCCTAGCAGAAAGAGTCGATATTAGAGTTCACGTCCTGTGGCCCTGTGGCATTGAAAAGGAGAGGGACTCACGCGGAATTCCAGCGGGGATGACAACGATATCAGCTCCAGTTAGGGCATGCTTCAGGCCATCATCCTTCGGCAAATAGCCAGTGATTTTCTGCGAACAGGGCGGACGCCATCAGTCATTGCTATTTCATCGGTCGAGAGCCGGGCTTACTGGTACCTACAGCAACAGAAGAGATGTGGGACAGATCGGCAGCGACACCCGGAGTGTTAACAACATCGTACAGGGCGAGTTCGTCAACCAGCGGAGAAGTCTTCAACAGGAGAGACAAGGGCTACACAGCCGAATAGTAGAGGAATAGCAGTCAGTTGAGAGTAAATGGCTCGGTTGAGAGAGGACAATCATCGAAAGTGATACAGACCTGGCCAATGCCACCAGATGCGCCGAGCACAGCTGTTAATGGAAGGTCAGTGCATGTTCAAGGTTGCATGGGTGTTTGTTTTCCCGTCTATATTGGAAGCTAGAATCGGACGCTAGGTCGGTCGAAACACTGTGGGTGGGTAGAATGAGGAAGGTAGCCAGGTACTCACCTGCTTTAACCATCTTTGAAATGCTGACTCTTTGGAAGGAGCGAGGTATGCTGCTCTGAGGTATTAAGGTAGCGTGAGTGAGAGATATGTGAGGAGAGATGTAGAAAGAGAAAAGAAAATGGGGTCAGAGGGATGAGGAGGGGAGGGGCAGGTTAGGAAGGGTTGGGGGCGGGGGGAGCTTTTGTTTGATAAAAAGAATGACGGGTGGGGTTGGGTGGTGGTACGGTCACATTACGGTGAGCAGGTCAGGGAAAGTGCCATTCTTCTGTCGGGGTTTGAGCCTTTGCGGCTTGGAACCCGGGGCTCAAGGATTGGTTGGGACTTGGAGAGCAGAGAAAGAGTGGGTTAGGTAGGAGAGGACCAGGTACCTTAGGAAAGGAGGGGAGGAGACCCGGGGAGGGGGGAGGAGGGGAAGTAGTAATTGGAAATCGTGGGGAAAGGAAAGAGGGGTAAAGAGGGGGGTTAGGATAGGACAAGACAGGTAAAATTAGGTAGGGAAATAGATTATGAAGAAATAGGTAGGTAGTTACACATAACACTGAACTGGTTGGTCAGAACTTACTATGTACTTTCTGTATTCGTTCTTAGTATAAGAGAATGATATAATCGGAACGTGAAAAGGGCAACTTGAGGATGTTGCGATGGCCGAACTTATATACTCATAGACCAGCTAAGCTGCCTTGGTGGGAAATCACATGTGGGGGACGAGGGGTCAGGTAATAGCTTCCTTTCCCTGTAGACGTAATACTACCTATCCTACCCATTCATATTCATCATATCATCCACGTATACTGGAACTACTTCTTTTCATGACCTAGGGGCAACCTAACAACCTAACAACACAACAATAACAACAAACAGCCTTCCGGTATCCACAACCACAGCCGCAATGGATGAAAACCGAGGCAATCCTCTTTTCGGAATTTGTCATTGTCGTCATCCATAACTTAGGTCTGGGTGAACGGATCAACCTCAATCCTTACTAGGTATTCTATGGGCCCGGTAGTCTCCGTCCGGAATCTTCCCTGTTTGCTACTCCTGGAGGGTACTACTATGCCCGGGTGCCTTCAGAACGTAAATGTGGGCCAGTGGCAACATTTTATCACCGCCATGAGTTGACCTCTACCGCTTCCTCTTCAGGAATGATCCGAAGCTCTTCCACGAATGCGCAATCATGAGTAGTGATAAAACCGGCAGATCTGAAATTATCTAATCCAGTTCCACTTTTACGTTCTCAAGGCACCTTACCAAGTAGGTAGCTTCCGGCGGAGTTTGTCGGTACCTGAATTTGACCCTTAATGGAGGAGTCTTCTTCTTCCGCTCCGAATAGTCATCGGAAAAAGGCGGATGGCCTCATCCGCGAATTGAGTCTCCTACGGCAAATGCACGGCTATTGTTGGCCTACCGGCCGATGATTACGGTACCCGCGCCGGTCTTGCTTAGATCTGATGGACCGAAAGCTGGACCCCCCACCTAGCAAACTGCATTAGGTTTGCTATCACCACAAGTGAATAAGCGATCGCATAGCAGAAAGCAGAATGCGCTCATGACTTGATGTGAACTTATTTTTGACATTTTTCCTTTTTCGATTTGCGGATTATCTTATATCACATGGCCGGTGGTGTTTCTCATGGTAGCGAGATCATGCTACATTACCCAGATGCTTCCGCCGTTTAGTTGACACAGCCCTGCTATGATTGATGCGCCCATTTCCGGGGAGCTTCAACACCAGGATCCCTCTTGCTACTATTGTTGCTTACTCCTGGTCCTTCTCTGCGGCCTTCTTGGCCTGGGCGCCACGAAGCTTCTGGGGAGGAGACTCCTTCTTGGGCTTCTGGGAGCGGCGGATGGCGCTCACACGGGCGACAGCAGCCTCACGGAGATCGGCACGGTAGCCCTTCTTAGCGGTCTTGTCGGCAACACCCTTGAAGATCCTACAGAAAGAGTGCCACCAGTCAGCCATACATGCTGCTTTCATATCGGTAGATGGCGCCGACTTACTTGCGGGTGGAGGCGCTGGGGCCGTAGCTCACGGTGACGATGTTCTTCGCGGGCTGTTGGGAGTTGGACTTCTTGGTGAGGACGACGACACCGCCATTCTCGGTAGCCTGAACACCAATGGCCTGTTGCAACATATCAGGAGGTTTAATTCGCGGGTAAAGGAGGGCATAGTGTGGGCTACCTTGTTGTTGGCATAGCCGGCGTACTAAAAACCAAGTTAGCATCCAAGAAGTCAAGGTGACCTCCGTCCGGGAACTCTTCTTACCTTGAAAGAGTGCTTGTTCTGCACGTTCAAAGGGTCACGGGAGAACTGAGAACCACCACCGCTGTTACGCTTCACCAGGAAAGCATTCTGGTTGCCTGTTCCAAGATACGCGGATTAGCCGGAATTCGAGGGGATGGCTAGGCCGTGCGGTGGATGGCGAGACGCGGATCTCAAAGCCTTTCACTTGAGAATCTCTATCTTGCCCAGTGCTGTGCCAGGAGATGGTGACGTACGGGTGATCTGCCAGACGAGATCGCTGGAGACGTTGGTTCTGTCGGCGGCCATTGTGAAGATAGCGTGTGAAGCTTGAGGGTATGTGTGGCAGGTCGAAATCGTCGCAAGTCCGTTCGGTATATACGACTCTTGCTGCCAATACTAATAGCCCTGTGTGTGTGCCAATGCCAAGAGTGGCAACGCTGGAAAAGGCTCGCTAAGCAGGCCGCTTCAGGAATAGCTTAACTAGCGTGTGGAGCTTGTGGGAGAGATGTACTGATGCCTTTATGCCTTGTAAATGAGGCATCAAAATGCCGCCTAGCTCTAGTGACTCCTCCGTACTCCGTACTCCGTACTCCTTCCGTAGTCTGCAGGCATCAGCGGTCCAGGTTCCGATGTTAACGTGCACGGTCCAGTTTGGCATCTTCCACACCCTTCCCATCTTCTCCACACACTCGGCCAGATTACGTTCTTACTGAGGCCTATGTTACTCTTGATGTCGCCCGCCCTTGTAGTGTATCGTGGGAGTTGCCTTGCCATCACGAAGCAGATTCTCTCATCTAACGGCAATTGAAACCCAAGAGGCTAGCCTCGTTCCCTAGTTGTCAACATCCACAAGTCTACAACTGTTCCGATTTGAAAGCTGGCGCGGATCTTCCCGGGGTCCTGCCAGCAAGACTTCAGACCATGGCTTATTACATCTTGTTCTTTCTGACCTTCACCGTTATCATAGGTGGCACTGGTAAGCTTGAGCGTTCTCATTGAAAAATATGGCTTTCTGGTTCTGGATCGAGTCTAATATATCTGTAGCGCTCTACCTTACTCGTGCACGATGGCTGCCGTTTATTCCCGTGCCTGAATACATCTACCATCGCCTTCCTTCCAGTTTTGCCAATGACGCCGAAGCTGGCTTTACATCCACACAATTTGATCTTTCTGCGAACATCGCAGATGGAGATGGTAGAGCTGGATTGGACAGTCGCGCAAAACATGATATTCGGAGAATCATGCACCGGCAGAAAGTCAATTTTGATGAAGCCCGCCGCATTTACACGGAGCAACGATTTGCGAAAAACAACATTGGCCCGGATGGTCGGCCAAGAGACCCCAAATTTGTTTCCTTTTCCTAACCGCGTATTATGTTACAAATCGATTTCTCTATTGTCGTTGTCGCTCTTCTCATGGTCAGGGCATGTGTGCAGACCATACAAGTATATTGGCAATCATCGACTCTATAAGGTCACTTTCAGAGATCGCCGAATGCTCCTCTGTCTTGCTATCTGTTGTACAGTTTTGCTAAACGCGCTCCGCTCCAAAGCTTGGTACCACTGCCGATATTGTTGTCATCACCATGTATTGACACGTATTGACACGTCTAGTGCACCGCTCTAGTACTAATATGCACCAGTATAGTTCGTTGCACAAACTGAAGGGAATGATTCTCTACAGGAGGCCGATTGCCAACCGGAGTTCGGATACCGGTAGGACGATGCAAGAGGGTGCTTCGAAGGCAGCACACGAGCGTCATCTGATAACGTAGAATCAAGATGCGCACTGTGGCAAAAACCGGGTGGGCAGATTGGATTCCTTGGTGCGCGAGCTGCCTTACTGAACCAGCTGTCGTTGTCCGAATACTTCCTTGACGAGATGGCGATTGTAATACTGAGACTCAACGACCCCGCCCATAACCAGGTTGTTGAAAGCCTTGGGGTAAAGGAGGCGGAGGTCCAGGGGTTCCCGTAGCAGGGCCGTAACCCGGCTGTGCAAAACCTGGGGGAGGTGCTGCTTGGACAGGGTAAGGTGGCTGTTGGCCGGCGCCATTGTAGCCCGTGGGAAGGAAAGCTTGCGGGCCCCCGTAACCAGCTTGCGAAGGAGGCGGACGTGCTGGTAAACCCGGCGGCGGGGTGGCTAGAGATGTCGGTGGATGAATTGGTCGATTTGGCTGAGGCGGCGTATTCTGATAGCCAGGATTCGGAGGCGGCACGCCCCTGCTAATACCTAAATCTGAGGGGCCGGTGCTCACAGGTTGGGAGTTGTCACCATTGGCCACGCCCGCTGATATCATAGGAGCCCCAGGCCCAGAGAATTGCGCTGGGAGCGATTGAGTCACCGGACGCACATTATGTTTACGAGCCTGTGCCGCTAACATCCGCTCCGCCTGGTCACCGTGCCGTTCGCCCTTGCCGTCCTTCTTGTACGCATACTGGACTGAAACCTGTTTGTTCATCAGATACTGGCCGTTCATGCTGGTTATGGCGGCGTCTGATGATTCGAAGTCGGCGAACGACACAAATCCATAGCCCTTCGATAAATTATTGTCATCTCGTGCGATCTACGTGAAAGAAAGTGTCAGACAACTTGCCAGGACCGCGAGTCATGTTCAGCGACGGGAATCCATCAAGGGAAGGGATACATGCCTTTGGTAGAGTGATCAAGTTCCCAAAACGGCTGAAGGTATCGTAGAGAACCTGCTCTGTCACCATTGGGTCGAGGTTGCCGACGAACAGCTCTGCACCGATTTCCACGGCCTTCTGCTTATCGGCGGAGGCCTTATTCACGCGTATGGGCTTCCCGTATAGGCGAATACCGTTCATAATCCGCGATGCATACTCGGCATCCTCTTCACTGATGAATTCCACAAATCCATAGCCCTGGTGTGACTGCGTGACTCGATCTTTGGGCAGGTGAACGTTAACGATGCGCCCGGCTTGAAGCATTAGCTCCCATACCAGGCTATCGGTGACACGTTCATCGAGGTTCCCAATATAGACGGTAGCCTCTTTATCTTGCTCCCTATGTAGTCAACGAGTGAGTTTGAGAACGTTAGCCTGCAATAGAAGCGTGCAGCACCTACCAATGTCTTGCGCCGGACATCGTGCGTGGCAAGAAGCTGTTGAAGCCCCTTCACTGATTACAACCGACCGGCAGGTGAGATGAGGGGATGAAGCAAAAGCCGTGGGTCAAATTGCCTGCCTGCAATTGATATCAAATACAGATAGCGTGTAAGACTCGGGAACTGAAGCGAAGGGGAGGCGGATAGGTAAGTTGTAGCGGAGAAGGGATCGACCCGTCGTTGGAGACAGAAAGCGTTCGTTGGCGGAGCGGCACGTTTTTGTTAGCCCCGGAAAACTTTGAGCTTCACCTTCTCCCCGTCCTCCGTCATCACTCCCCCCCAAAACAACATACCGGTAGCCAACGCCTTTTGTTCTGCTTTCCGGCTTTTCACCTCGACCCTTCCCCTACCCCTGCCCTTGGCCTCTGCTTGACTCGAAATCTTGCCTTTGATCTAGGAAGTTATTACCGCTCAACATGGTCCAATTTTCCGAAGAAACCAAGGTGAGTGCCTGTGTCATAGTGAGTAGCCTACGCATCGTACAATCAGCTTACAGTTCTCTATGTTTTCTAGGAGCGTATCTCCAAAGTCATTGACGTTTCCAGAGTTGCTATCCACTAGTGAGCTACTCCTTGCCTCCCCCCCCCCCCCCAAAAGATGGCGGCAGCTGACGGTTGTCCTTGTACTAGCGGATATCTTCCTCTGATCATCTATCTCGGTATGGTTCCACTGCAATGAGCCCAACCCGTGTCGAGAGCAATGAAAACAGTCCCAATACTGATTCTTCCTCGACAGGCTACACTTATAGCGAGCCTAGACCTTCACTTTTCAAGTACGAATGAACCTTGATGCCGGTTTCCCTCCGATCTGTACACCCAGCTAACACCATGGCACATAGGCTGTTCTCGCCACTTGCATAGAGTCGTGGAAGGCTTAGTCGCATCACATACGAGGCCTCCCTCCAAAAAATAGTGCATCTGAGATCCTAATTCCTCAATCTGTGGCGAGTATGAAATTGGGTTGAACCGGTCCTTCTGCACGGAGCCTCGGCCTCTCGCCTACTCGCCGGTGAGGAAATACGAAACAGTATTTGCAGGAGTTCAACAAAGACGGAGGGGTATTTCTAACACTGTGTTGGGATTTGTAATTTCTTTCATTTTTTGGTTTTGGTTTGGTTCTTGCGAATGACTTAATTTGACTTCTTCTTTCACCTCTTCATTCTTCTCTCCCGTTTCAGGGTATCATACATGAGAGTGACGCGTTATCGCAATCATTTCTTCCCAAGAGTAGATGAAATGTGCACCAACACATTTTCGTGTTAGGAATAATGGCCGGAGAATCGCACCACCGCGGCCTCGGCCCGCCAAGCTTAAACCAGGCAAAATCAAAGCCCAGGCTCGGGCGATTCCGTAGTCGCTTTACACCGATCCAATTCACACCCCGCACTCAACGACGAAAGATTTCATACAACTTATTTTCTAGAGACCATCAGCCCGGAACCTTTCTGGTGGGATCGAAGAGTTCATGACTGGCAACGATGGCCTATCGTCATCCTTTGTGGAGACCGTAGCAGGGTTGACGGCGGGAATTGTTTCAACGCTTTGCCTGCATCCGCTGGATCTGGTCAAGACTCGACTTCAGGGTGCGCCTCTCTGCTTCCTCGGAATGAAGAAATGAATTGTGCCCTCCGCAACTCTTCACTCAACGGACTATCTCTCCATTTGATCTGATTACTGAACCACATTACAGTTGACCCGTCTTTAAGCTCTTGCGGCCGTGGATCACTCCGACTTGTCCAAGGTATCTTTCAGCTTGAGGGTGGCCTGGCTGCATTCTATCGAGGCCTGACGCCTAACCTCCTTGGAAACTCGACTAGCTGGGCCCTATACTTTTTGTGCTACGGCAATATCAAGGACTTGATGCGAACCTGGCGTGGAGGTACTTCAGGACAGGGTTTGAGCTCGGCCGACTATTTTCTAGCCTCGGGATCCGCCGGTAAGTCTTCTCTAGACCCAGACAGAGCGCCAGTACGAGACTTTGGCGGTTTCGCTAATCGGCAGAAAAAAAAAAAAAAAAAAAAACAAAACAAAACTGAACCCAGTCTTTAGGTATGCTGACGTCCATCCTAACGAATCCCATCTGGGTTATCAAAACCCGCATGTTGTCAACCGGCTCTCGGGTACCGGGAGCCTATGCCTCCCTCGTCGTGGGCGCGAGACAGATCTTCCGCTCAGAGGGCTTATCCGGCTTTTATAGGGGCTTAGTCCCGGCGATGTTCGGAGTCAGCCATGGTGCACTGCAGTTCATGGCTTATGAGCAACTGAAGCTGTACCGCGCTCGCATGGCGGCCGGCGACGTCCCAGGCGGTACCGATGGTCCAAGCTCGCGGCGGCCAGAGTCACCGGAGCTTGGGAACGTGGACTACTTCGTCCTGTCTAGCCTTTCAAAGCTCTTTGCTGGGTGCGTAACGTACCCATATCAGGTACTGCGGTCCCGGTTGCAGACCTATGACGCGCATATCGTTTACACGGGCGTTCGCGATGCGGTAATGAAAATTTGGGCCAGAGAGGGAACCAAGGGCTTCTACAAAGGTTTGGTGCCAAATCTGCTGCGGGTACTACCCAACACATGGGTCACTTTCCTTGTATATGAGAATACTCGGGCATATTTGCCGCGGCTGATTCTTAAGGAGTAATTGAAGGCATCAGCTAAGCCTCGCGCATCCATCCAAAAAGACAGCTCACCGTGCCTCTTCTTGACCCCAATCGCAATGTCCGTAAAACCGATTAAAGGGGCAATGCTCCCTGCTAGTTCATATAATCACTAGCAGGATGACAGAGGCAGAGCAGGTCGAAGATATATCTGAAGATCAGAATCTGCTTATACAAACGGATGCTATACATGTATTATATCGGATCCTGGCCATGTTCTCACCCTGTATTACTTCACTCCTCCCAATGCAGTGTTCCTTTCGTGTTGAAATTGGAAGCAAAACGTGAAAAGTAATTGAATCCGGTATCAGCATAAACCCCGAAGCAAAGGAAAGTCATAGAAATAGAAAAAGTCCACCCCAGAAATAAGTCAGTGTCCTTGCCTGTCGAGGAAGTAAGGTCCAACATCCTCTTCGTCGCTACTAGAACCTTCGTTACATGTCGACGTATCTCCATAGCTTGCGCGCCGTCCCTTTTCGTCACTGTTAGTAAGAGACTGCATCCTTCTGCGGGTGTCGGGCCTGGTCTCGGATCTCGCAATCGGAGAAATCCTGCGATCCTTGCCGCGGCCTTTGATGCCCTTGTTACTATTCTTGTACAAGGTAGCGAAGTATTCCCAGAGCTTCTGGTCTTGTGAGCTCATGTTATCCGCATCCGTCATCTGAGAGAACTTCAGAGTCAGAGTTTTGAGGGTTGCTGCGTGGAATTTGTTCTGATGTGACTACCACTTTAGTCAGCCCAGGTGAATTCTACAAGCAGCAAGGTGGATCATGGGAGAACACACCTTTAGGTTACCCAATTGTGTAAATTGTTTACCACAGTCGTCTAGAAGGCAAGTGAAAGGCTTTGCATGTTGGTGGGTGATCTTATGTGCGCGAACATTGCCACGCTGAGCAAATCTTTTATGGCATATCTCACAGGAAAATGGCTTCTCTCCTGTATGGCGTCGCTGGTGGGTCTAAGCCACCGACAGAGCTAATTAGGAATTGCATAAATGTGCAGGGAGCATCAAGGCACAGGCGCGGCTTACCTTCAGGTTTCCAAGTTGAGAGAAGCGCTGGCCACACAAGGGCTCTTTGCATACCTTACAGATCCAACTGTCAGTGCCCTTTCCATTGGTTTGATGGGAGATTGCTTTGCTCACAAAAGGCTTGTCTCCTGTGTGGGCCCTCATGTGGATGTCCAAATGTGTCTTCTGCGCAAAACTCTTGCCGCAATGTGGAAGGGTGCAGGTATACTTGCGCTTCTTTCCTGAACGCAGTGGCGGGTCTTCAACAATCACAGTACAACGCGGGTTCGTGGCTGCTGGAATCGAATATTGAGGAGCGAAGGTACTTGGATTCGCTCCATGCGTCATTTGCTGAAGTGGCGGAAGTGACTGCACGTTTGCCGACTGAGTGCTGGCCTTTGACTGTATCGCTTTCATGAGGATGTCCACTTCGGTTGAAAATTCGATTTCATTCGGTCCTGGGCTTCTTCTCCCCTGTGTTGGTCCTCCAGTCGTCGGTTGCTGTCCCATGGGCGGCTGCACCCCCGCCTTGTGGTCAATACTGGCCGATGCATCTTTCGTCATCCGACTGACCGCGTTCTTGGCCGGTCGAATCTCTGGGATTGGCTGGATAGAGGGCGGTTCCGATGAGAGGCGTACCGGCTGGGGGTTCAATGGTGGCTGACCCGCTACGAAGTAATGCTGGTAGCTAGTCTGGTGGTGGTGGTGATGTTGATGTGGATGATGATGGTGCTGATTCATGGGATGTCCGAAGCCATAGCTCGCCGACGAATGCTGATGAAAAGAGAGAGGAAATGAAGCAGTCGGGCTGGCGTAAAATGGTAGAGTATGACCCAGGCCGGCGTTCATCATCCGACGGGGTGCAACGGCACCGATAGCATGGCCTGGGAATTCGTATGATACCGGTTCGGCTGCCTCCATATTGGTAAGCGCTTCAAATCGATGTCAAAGTTTGGAGGCTATGGCCCTGGCTCTCAGAGCCTCGATTTGAATCTTGTCGACTTCTGAAGCTTCTTCCGGGAGATAAAAGCCCAGGAATGAGACCGACGCCGGTGGCTGGGCTCCTTCTGCAATCTTTTAGCTATAGTCTAGTCTGACCCGCATAGATGGAGCACAGGAGGAGGCAAGATGATCCTGGGGTTGATGGGGGAGGGGAATAGCCTTCTCTTCCGCTGTAGGCAGTGATGGTTGAGATTACCTTGCTATGTTTTACGGCCAATAACTTATCTTGAATGAGGGCAACAGAGACCGCAAGCCGGTGGATGGAAATCCTGATTGATTGCACAGGCTGAATTCAAGGTGCAGACATCGGGCTAGAGAAGAGACCTTGAGAAACACCCCAACGGGATATGTGTCCTTCGATAGGTCCTCGACTCGGCTTGTCTAATTGGGGTCTCGCACGAGACAAGGAAACGAGGAAAGTGGCCGAATGTTCAATAGTCGTTGGTAGCTGTCAGCCAGTGGAGTCACCCCAATGGCATCAGTGCCGGCCGTGGGACTCGCTAAACAGTGAGTATGAGTTGGTCACCAAGAGGTGTTGCTTCATACTCCAGGGAGATTATCTTCAGGCGTATGCCAAAAAGAATAGGCGAATGTGCAGCGAGCCCAAAAAAAAAACGGTTGGGTCAAGATTGATATCTCTTCGGGACCTTACCTAGAGAATTAATTTTTCTTTTCTCTTTGCTTTTGGCCTTGGGATTTGTTTTGGCCAAGCTTATTGAAAAGACTTGCACTCTCACTCTCACTCACAGTCTCTTTCTCTCTTTGTCAGTCCCTGTTTTCACCTGTTTTGACAGCTGAGAACAGCTGGAGAGACGGCGATCTAGAACTAGATATACAAGTCAATCCTGCCCACCCCCTTCATGGGGTCCCAGAGAAGTGGAAGCAGCGGGGTGGGAAATCGACAGGGATCTAGCCTGTTGATTGGTACCTGGTCTAGGTAGCTGAATGGAGGGCATGGGCGGAGTCCACGGTCGAAGAAAGATCGATAGGTATATCCATCTGTACACATCATGTATGTATGTCTGTATGTTGTATGGATGCATGTATGGATGCATGTCAGTCAGAAAATACATTATTGCCTAGGTAGGTAAGAGGTAAAAATCCAGAGAGAGAAAGGCTCACTCAGGGGGGGGGAGAAGGGGGAGGATGGGGGCGAGAATGGCGGGTATTGGAAATCATGGAGAAAATACACATAAATGGAACTAATTATGGTGGCCAAATGAGAAATAATAGAAGAAGCAGAAGAGACGAGACGAGACGAGACGAGACGAGATGAACAGGAACAAGAAACAGAAGACAATCAAGAAGAACCAAGAACAAAACGAAGATCCTGATTGAAATCATATGCAGGATCTCTAGGTAGAACATGGATAGTGTGCAGCAACTTAAGCACTGGTGGTGACTTTCTTCCGTAATTTAGGGTCAGCGCCTCTCCTCGCCCTCAGCTGTGCCCGCACCATGCTTCGATTTGTCTCATTGTTTTCTCCGTCTCAATTTTGTCCTGTCCAGTTTGTCAATGATTACTTGTTTTATTCTATTCAATTTTATCTCTTCCACTCCCCCTTCTGCTTAATCTACCGGTAGTTATTCTTTCACTTTGGCCCCGTTCGCACCTCAGACATTATTGGGGCGAAATTTTGTTGGTCCTTTTAAGGGCTGCATGCTGAACGGGAATGACTAGTAGTAGTCGAACGGACCATCATGTAAGTTACTGTATGTATGGAGGACTCCGTACTCGTGGACACTTTGGCCCAATCGCGGAATGTGCAGTGACCTTCCGATCGGGCTGACTGACTGACTACCACGCACCACACCACATTGAAGGATACGGAGGTTTTATTGTTCTTCTTCTTCTTCTTTTTTTTTATCTTTATTTTTTGCTTTGCTTTTCTTTTTTTTCTCTCTTTTTTTTTTTCTTTTTTTTTTTTTTTTTTTTTTTTTGCTAGTAGCGCTTAGTGTACACTGTATAGAGTCCCAGGCACCCAGCACATATATAGTACGTATGACGATGTATGTAAAGCATGTATGTATATACTCATCATTGTGGCAAGTTACTCCGCAGTGTCGACCCTCCTCCGCAACGAATGGGCGGTGGGGAATATGTAGCCTTTGACACAGGTTCATTTACAAGTACATAGTACTTAGTAGCTTGGGCTTAAGGTACTACTCATAGTCCTGTACCTGACTAGTAAGTTACTGCGTGATCCGTAGTAATGGAGACGACGGAGGACTATCCCAGGCTCCGAGCATGTTTGTTCGAGACCAAAATAGCGAGGTATGACAGCCCTCGTTCTTTGTAACCTTGAAATAAGATATTGTCTCTTTTCTCCCTCGACTGCCATGCTGCTTACCTAACAGTAGATCAAGTTTCTCGTATCGCAACTCCGCGGTTCTTGGAACAGCTAGGATACCCCAGTCATTTACGCAGGCATCTCCCCGGGCTATCGGGATCTATCTCGGCGAATGGGGGCTTGTTTAGAGCATGGATCCCTCAAGAGCTCGAAGGATCACGGCCATCACCTGATTGATTGTGATGTAGATCATGGCAGGATGGCTCTAATGCTCGTATGCGGAGAGAGAGAGAGAGAGAGAGAGAGAGAGGAGGAAGAGGACGCGATGCCAATTACAGGAATCGATTCTCAAAGTCAAGAACCGGGTTGTGCTGCTACTCATCAGCGTCAGACTCTGAGGTAGGCTAATTCTACTTACTAGAATGTTTATACCTCATATAGTCCGTGAGCAAACCACTGACATCAAGCTGATGTGATCCTTTTCTGGGTGGAGTAGACGAGAATTTAGACAAGAGATCCCGAGGACGGACCGCCCGCAGGCGATCGATTACTTACCGTACTGTGGTTACGCACTTGTATGTACAGAGTACTAAGTTAGTACTCCGTACTTCGTACGGTATTGTACTTATGAGAACTCCGTACTCCGTACTCATTCAGCCTTCCTTCAGCCTTCGTGCAGCCTTCAAAGTTCAGGTCCATCAACCCCAGGCCTTGTCATTTCCCGAGTCCTCTTCCCCGTGCACTTCTTAAAGTCATAGAGGGCTGATTCGCTGCTCCACTCCACTATTATGCTTTAGCCTGAGCACGTAGACTAGTCGAGACACCGCAAGAAGAAAAATTGAAATGAATTTATTTTATTTAGTATTTATCGTGTAAAAATAAAACAAGCATCCGACAGAAAAAGATTTGTGCTATTTGGAAAACTTGCGACAGCCGCGACTGGCGACAAGGAATTGTCTCCCAATATCCTTCCCGCCCAAACCCCCCCCCACCCCCTTCGTCCATCCTCCTCCCCTTCCATCATTGTCCGCCATGGACTTTTTTTTGATCACTTCGTGGACACTGTGGGGAGGATCTCTCAGTTTCGGCCACTCAAGCCTATCGTAGGTAAAGTTCAGTTGCCTTGGCTCCTCATGTCGAGTGACAGTTCGGGATATGGGACCTATAATGCTGTACAGATAGATTATCATGCTGCAACCAGAGAACCCTAAGATACAGTATATCGATTCCCCTTTCCCTGAGTCGGGATAATAATAAGGTACTGAGTAGCGTTACTCGTGCTTTAAAGGGTCCTAGTAGGAGTCCTAGGAAATTAATCTCGCTGTTGAACGAAAGAAGGTGGATGCTTGGTCAAGAGGTGATAATAGTTCCTCATAAATGCCCTTTGAGAGAAAGAGTGCGATTGATCTATTGGAATCCATTAACAATCTAGATTGACTGTCGGTAAAAAAAAATAATAAAAAAAAATAGAAAAATAAAATAAATAAATTGTGACGGGCCGGGCCTTCTTTATCTTGGGATTGTCAGATACGTATGTGCGACTGAGCACGTATGTACAGTACTACTGCTGTACTATTGACCCTTCCCTGGGCTGTGTGTGGGGTTCATTCTTCTAGCTTCACGGTCCACGGTATCTCCGGGTTGGAAGAATGAAAATGAGGCGTCGGCCCTTCCACGCTGAAAGCTCCGTCTCAACCAGGAGAGTCTCGGCGCAGACGGACACTGGAGCAAGCCGAGATGTACGGAGACTGTGCTTCCGTAGAGTCAGCGAACCATCAACCTGAAAAAAAGGACCATGCCTTGTCTCATCTCCCATGGTCATTGGACTTTTTGGCTTTATCTTACCGCTGGCGGCTGATCTGCAAACAAATACAAAATACAACTTTTAACAAAAAATATCCAGTAACTAGACAGGCAGACAGGGCAAGAAGAAGACGCAATTTGTAGGCAAAAGAAGGGCCATTCCCCTGGACACGTCCCAAGGCATGATTACAATACACTCGACCCCGATCAACATCCTCTAAAATCATGAGCCAAGCATCTTATTTGACTCTTCAATCCAATCTATCTCTCTTTCCCCCCCCCTTCTCTTTCTCTCTATCTCTAGGAAGTTCGACATACATTTTGGCCTGTTCATGCACGCTATACGGGAATCTTTAATTTCCTAGTTTAGCCTTTAACCACTCTCTGCTTGTGGTCTCCAAGTAACCTGACATCGGGAGTAGTTCATGCACGATCTGCGTGGATGTACAGTGCATTAGTGTAATTGTAGCAACCAATATTCTGTCCATGTGCGTAGGACAATCAGCAAAGAGCAAGAGCCCCAGCTGTTATCGTCATTATGACAAGTAAGGCAGGGGGGGTACCTACTAATTACTAGGAGGTAGTCATCACCAGTTGTTTGTCCTAACTCCGCTACTAACTAGGCCACTGGTGTGCTCCCAATGACAGCCATAAAATACTCGTATCAAGCCCAGTCCCCCATACCCTGTACAGTACAGTGTGTACAGTACAGTAGTTACAGTATATTGCTAATGCCAAAGTCTGGATGGAGCATACCAACCCCATCGCAAAGTTGGGGCCAGCACTTCGTACTGGACGTACTGGAGATCTTGTGTCCCTACTGGACACACAGACTCGTATTGAATGTGCTTGGGGAAAAGACCGGAATCGTACTTTCGTAATTGACTTACTGAATATGTAGGTGCTGACTGTCCCTGCATTGGTCCAATTGCAATGGGCTCGACACCCCGGCTGGGTTGTCAACCGGCAGTCATAGTGCGTGTTTGGTTAGATAGCCAAGATAGGAACCTAGCAGGGGTACTGCGTCATATCAATGAACTGAATGCTTGATGGCAGCCCCATTTGGTGTTTAACTCCAGATCAACCGATCAACGCCCCCCTGTGGAACTGTGCTGACATGCACCTGCACATGAATCGTGGCTTGACACCAGTGCTCGATGCAATCTCAGAATCCCTCCAAGGGGGGGGAGATGGGGGCGCTTTGCCCCCTCCCAAAGAAAAACAGTAGACATATCCGGTTCCCGAAAAGGAGCCTATAGATCCTGGATCTTACTTTCAAATCCCGCACCCATGTCCTGGAACTAAAGCCATAAGTGGTTCTGTACTCTATGCACACTAATTCACATCGTTTGACCCCCTTGTGGTGGATATCCCTGCAGAGTCACTCGCACACTGTTGCAGAAAGACAAAGCAGCAAGACTTTAGGGTATCCGACCTGCTTCGGGTCATAGCTACTGGTTATCAGTACTAAAGTCCCGAGCATACACTAGATTATTGTGGATCTGATTCGTAAAGGAGGTGGCTCCCTCAAAATTGCCTGTTATGGCCAATTGTGCCACCCTCCCCAATCTAAAATTTAGGTAGCATGAAGCCTACAGATATGTTGTTCACGATTCACAGTGCTTTCGTCATTAAGGCATTTAGCCTTTTTTT